CAATTGTTTAGTATTTACCCATTCCTAGTTGCAGTGTTCTACTATATTATTTACAAATTATATCAATAAATCTTCTTTTATTTAAGTCTGCCAGCTCTGAAAGAAATAATTTCTCAGGAAACACATAGACCCTCATGAAAGCCTAAAACCTCGACCTACCTACCCAGTGATAGAAATATTATAGTATAAAGGTTTGGAAAGCCTTAAATTTCCTGGTGGCAGCCAGATATACACAGTAGAACAAAACATAAAGAACATTTTAAAGGGAAACCAGACCTCCCCAGAGAAGGGGTCATCACAGTATGTATGTATTTATTTTCATATTTGTATCCCGCCCTCCCCAATGGGCTTAGGGCGGCTAACAAGGGCAAGGTCATTTGCCATGCCGTAGGTGAAAACATATAAAACATAGTAAGACATCCAACACTAAAAGCACAGTACTCCATCCATTACTAATATCCTAAATCCAAGATGGTAACACCGCAGTTCCAGATGGTCCTCCCATAATATACATGTCCAATGGCGACGTCTTGTCAGATCTTCAATAGTTTCCAGGTTCTTCCTCGGGCCCCGTCGATGCATCCTTTAAGATACCTTGACGGTGGTGGTATAATGGGGCGGCGGCTCCTACTCAAAGGCCTGGCGGAAGAGCTCTGTCTTACAGGCCCTGCGGAACTGCACAAGGTCCCGCAGGGCCCAGATCTCCCCCGGGAGCTCGTCCACCTGGTAGGAGCCGCCACCGAAAAAACCCTGGCCCTGGTCACAGCTAGTTTCACATCCTTGAGACCCGGGATGACCAACAAATTTTGGGTCCCCGACCGAAGTGCTCTTGGGGGAACATGTGGGGCAAGGCCTGCTACAGAGAGGGAGCACACAGGTCTTTCCCCCCAAAGCAGTGGTCTTCAGCTGGTGACTCGGGGGCAACGATGTGGACATGCTCTGACATAGGGAGGCTGGTAGCATTGCCTTTGCTGTCTGTCTCTCTCTCTCTTCTTGGTATTTTTTGTGGGGGGGTTGTGTGCGTGTGTGTGTATCTGCACCTCTGGGGACTGACTCCTACTGGGGGCCTGGAGGATATTCAGGGAGGTGGCTGAATAAAGCCTGCCTCCCGTCCAAGTACTAACCACAGTCGACCCTGCTTAGCTTCTGAGATCTGACGAGACCGGGCTTACCTGGGCTATCCAGGTTAGGGCCCTTTGCTGTCTGTTGACCTGGTTTTCCTAAGAGTTCTGCCTTGTCCTGTTCCAAAGGCTCAGGATCGGTTGCTGTAACGATCCATCGTCCTTGTCATTTTCACGGCTACCCTTTGGCATAGTCTAGATTTGAGGTCTGCTTGGCACACGCATGTATAAATCACTCGACGAGTACAATATCACGTGATGACTTGCAGTGGCTCATTCACACAGGCAGGTTTAACGCCACGTATATTAAAAGTTCTGATGGCCACAGAGGCAGTGTGTTTGGGTTTTTTTCCTCCAGTGGATTCACACATTCAGCGGTCAATCGCCGAGGCCCCGCCTCAAACAGACTTGTGCCCATCATGCGATTTCTCTGTATGCTTGAAGAATAACAGCCGACCGCGTAAACACACCGCATTCAGAAGCAGCGCCTTGATGGAGATGATACAAGGGTTCTTGGCTGTGAACAGCCCCTTTGCAGTCTCAGTCCTCACTTGATAGCGGGTTGTTGTGATAACCCAGGCATGTGTGAATTGGCCCACGCTGCGTGACTTGGATTGGATCACACGCGGGATGTCAGTGTCGGAGCAGGAGTGTGGAAAATTCAGGAAGCCGCTTCTCCTATCCTAGGGGAAGGCTAGGAGCAAAGGATTCTGGGAGTGTAGTCACCCTTTAGGTCGTAGCTGTGGGTTTTGACGTTTTATTTGTGTGAAGGTGCCATCAATGGCTTCAAGAAATAGGAGCCCGTGTCACCACCGTAAATCTAACAGGTGTAACGCTGTGAGGGATCGCCCTTGCCGATTCACGGGTATAACCTTGCCTGTTGTTGCAGCCGCTATGTGACTCGACCAGATTCTGAGGAAGAGGAGGAGGAGGAAGATCAGAGCGAGGAAGAGGACCTGTACAGCAAGAGGCCCAATGGGTTGAGCGAAGGTGAGCATCTTCTTCTTCACTTACGTGCTCGCAGTGGCGGGTTATAAGCGTCCCGCCACAGCTGCTGTCTGCTCTTTCCCCCATGTGCAGGTGAGGAGGAGGAGGAGGAAGAAGAAGAGGAGGAGGAGACAACGACGACAGCGGAAGGCTCCACCAGCCAGGAACCCGGCTCGGAAACAGAGGAAAACCCCTCCGACGCATCCATAGGGGAGGAAGGAGCCAGTGTGGAGGGGAGGTCCCCGCACCGGCCAGCCCAGCCTGCCCGGGCCCCCTCTTCCAGCCCCAGCCCCCCGACGGCCAACCAGCCCAAGCGCAAGTGTCGCCTGCCGCAGCGGCGGAAACTGCTCTTCACCCTCCAGGCGGTCAACTCGAACGGTACCAGTGACCGGATGGCCAGTCAGGACGAGGGCAGCGCCGTCTCCTTCAACTGTGAGTCCTGCCTTTCTGGAGCGGCGCAAATTCCTAACCATGTCTCCTTTGCCAAGGAAAAGTCAAGGGAGCTTCTCGGAGTTCTTGCTGGGGCCCGGTAGTTAGGTGACGCCTGGGGCTCACTCTGGTCACGTTTATTCGAAACGTTTATTAGCCTCCTTTCTACCTTGCGGAACTCGAGGTGGCTTACCGTGTAAATAAAACGACAATACTATAGTTTTTTAAAAACCATAAAAGACCATAATCTAGAATGAGGATTAGGACTGCCGATAAACAAAATACTAAATTAGCCCAATGGAGTCCTAAATGAAACCATCTTCTTATCTTCCGAATGATGAAACGTTGGAGGGGGGGAGGGCCGGGCGCACCTCCCTGGGGAGGTTGTTCCATAATCGAGGGGCTGCCACCAAAAAGGACTTCTTTCTCATATGCCCACCAGACTAACTTCTTTGATCAATGGACAGTCAGGTAGAAAAAGAAGAGGAGGAGATTGGATTTATACCCCGCCCTTCACTCGGAGCCTCAGAGCGGCTGACAAACTCCTTTCCCTTCCCCTCCCCACAAGAGACACCCTGTGAGCAGTGTTCCCTCTAAGCTGAGTTAGTGTGAGCTAGCTCACAGTTTTTCAGCCTCCGGCTCACACATTTTTGTCTTTGCTCAGGAAAGATGGCTCCAGAGCAAACTAATTTATGTAGCAGTCAAATCACTTGCTCACAGCTTTTATGCCAGTAGCTCACAAAGTAGAATTTTTGCTCACAAGCCTCCATAGCTTAGAGGGAACGTTGCCTGTGAGGTGGGTGGGGCTGAGAGAGCTCTTGACAGAAACTGCTCTTTTTCAAGAACAGCTCTGACAGAGAAATTATTAAGAGAAAAGATTATTAAGAGATTAAGTGATTATTAAGAGAAAATATAATAATCACAAAAGGATTGGTTCACAAGGCCTTCTGAATGGCCTCGGCTAAGGGACCGGTAGAGCTGCCCCCAAGCTTTGGGGCGATTACCCTGCCCCTTCACGATAAAGACTTGAAAGTGATGCTATTTGGTCTGTGATGTTCACCCTCCGTTCCTAATTTCTTTTGCAACACTGATACCCTGCCTTTCCGTCCTCATAAAAGGGCCACCAAGTGTGGCTGACGGATTAAACCAAACAGAATGAAGTCCCATTTTAAAGCCATTAAAACCCTAAACAACCCCCGCCCCCCCAAACCCCAGATCACTAAAACAGTTCAAAGTAGAGCTAAGTGCTGTCAAGTCGATTCTGACTTAACGGCGGCCCTGTGGATGAATGTCCTCCAGAGCTCCCTCTCGTTCACAGCCTTGCTCAGGCCCTTGTGGCTTCCTTGTTTGAGCCCATCCACCTCATGGGGGGGGGGTCTTCCTCTTTTTCTGCTGCCCTCAACTTTGCCTAGCACTGTTGTCTGTTCCAGTGAATCTTGTCTTCTCATAATATGGCCGAAGTACAAAAACCTCAGTGTGCTCATTTTGACTTCTAGTGAGAGTCCAGGTTTGATTTTGTCTAGAAGAGCTAAAGACATAAAGCGGGAAATAAAACATTGGCCAGAAAGGAGAGTACACGAAGGAAGGGGCAAATGGAAACGAAACGGTCTTCACCTGCCGGTGGAAGGTGGCAACAGAAGGGGACAGGTGGATTTCCTTGGGGAGAGAGCTGCAGGCCGCGAAAAGCTTCAGCTACCCCTTTCCACACATTAAACCCCGACTAACAGGGCAGGACGTTTTTCTCCAGGCCTCTTGACTGCCCGAGGGGGTACATATTAGCTCCTGAAGACACATGTCGGGGAAAGGGGGGGTCATAAGAACATCAGAAGAGCCCTACTGGATCAGACCGGTGGTCCATCTAGTCCAGCATCCCATCTCACACAGTGGCCAACCAGTTCCTCTGGAGGGCCAACAACAGGACACAGAGGCCGAGGCCTTCCCCTCATAAAAACATCAGAAGAGCCCTGCTGGATCAGACCACTGGTCCGTCTAGTCCAGCATCCTGTCTCACACAGTGGCCAACCAGCTTATCTGGAGGGCCAACAACAGGGCACAGAGGCCGAGGCCTTCCCCTCATAAAAACATCAGAAGAGCTCTGCTGGATCAGACCAGTGAGGGTCCATCTAGTCCAGCATCCTGTATCACACAGTGGCCAGCCAGCTCCTCCGGAGAGCAGGGCATAGAGGCCGAGGCCTTCATTAAAACATCAGAAGAGCTCTGCTGGATCAGACCAGTGAGGGTCCATCTGCTCCTGCATCCTGTCTCACAAAGGGACCAACCAGCTCCTCCGGAGAGCCAACAGCAGGGCAGAGAGGTCGAGGCCTTCCCTGATGTAGCCTCCGGCTCTGGGATTCAGAGGCTAACTGCCTCTGAATGTGGAGGTTCCCCTCAGTCACCATGGCTAGTAGCCCTTGATAAACCTCCACGAATCTATCTAATCCCCCTTTAAAGCTGTCTATGCCTGTGGCCATCATGACATCTTCTGGCAGCGAATCCCACATTTTAATCACTCTCTGTACAAGGAAGCGTTTCCTTTTGTCCATCCTGAACCTACTGCCCATCAGCTTCGTTTGATGCCCTCGAGTTCTAGCCTTTTGGGAGAGGGAGAAAAAGTTCTCTTTGTCGCCAACCGTACGTTGCCATAGACTGGGATTCGGAGATGAAGAAGCGCTACTACAACGAGGTGGAAGCGGAGGTGAGTGCGCGCGACGTCCCTTCTCTTGACCTGTCCCCCCTCCCCAGTCTTGTTCTCCGCTCCAGCCGGGAGCCCTGCCCACCGACTCCTCCAACCGTGTGCGTCTTCCATAGGGCTACGTCAAACACGACTGCATGGGCTACACGCTGAAGAAGAACCCCGTCAGACTGCAGGAGTGCATCGAGCTGTTCACCACGGTGGAGACGCTGGAGGAGGAAAACCCCTGGTGAGAGCCGTCGGGTTCTTGGGGGGAGCGGGGAAGTGCAGCAAGCGGAGAAGGAGCTGAAGCCACCGAGCTTAGTGGGGGAAAGACTTGAGTCAGGTGTGGCACCGGATCTCCAGTACTAATCTGCAGTTGGCCGGTTGGGAGGTCAAGACAATGGGAGTCATGCTGCCCCTGCACATCTCCCAGGCAAGCCTTCTGTACACAACCGTGGCTGCCGCACACATCGCTGTGTTTGGTTCCAACCCTGCAGTTGCTGCTGAAGAGCTGTGGAGGGCAAAGACCCTTCGGCTGCAACCTGATTGGACAGCATTGTTGGAATCTCCCATAGGGTGGCTGCCGAGGTTCCCGTATGCAGAGCCAACCTATACATTGCAGAGACCAGAGATGTGGAATGCTAGACAGTACCATTTCATAAGAACATAAGGGAAGGCAATGTTGGATCAAGCCAATGGCCCATCCAGTCCAACACTCTGTCACATAGTGGGCAAAAACACCAGGTGCCATCAGGAGGTCCACCAGTGGGGCCAGGACACTGTTGCCCCCCACCCAAGCACCAAGAATACAGAGCATCCCTTGCCCCAGACTGAGAGTTCCTATCTATACCTTGTGGCTAATAGCCACGAATGGACCTCTGCTCCATATCTATATATCTAATAGCCAACTTGCCCCCTCCGTGCGGATCGCTAAATCAGCACGGAGGGGGCAGCTGGGGGGCGGGGGGAGGTTTGTGCACACGTGGGCCGGTCCCCATGTGTGCACAAAAATAAAAAAAGTTGAAAAAATTTTCGGGGGGATGTTTAAATCCCCCCGAAAGTGCAAGAGCATCTCCTGCGCGTGCGCAGGAGACGCTCTGTAACTGCCGCCGCCGCTTGG